ATGGCCCCGGGCGATCGAGTTCAAACATGACTCATGTCTCAACCATGGAGATCGTGGGCTAATTATGGTGTGACACGATATATTACAAAACCCCATCCGCTGATCATTAAAGGACCATATCCTACTTCATGATGGAGGTCACAGGTTAAGTTTGTCACTCCCGGATATGGGGTACAAACAGATGTCATTAAACATCTGCTGAACATTAAAGGACAATAACCTAATTCATTGCTGAGGTCACAGGTTAATACTATGGAACTCCACGAACACATGTGGTCCATAGATGGCCCCGGGCGATCGAGTTCAAACATGACTCATGTCTCAACCATGGAGATCGTGGGCTAATTATGGTGTGACACGATATATTACAAAACCCCATCCGCTGATCATTAAAGGACCATATCCTACTTCATGATGGAGGTCACAGGTTAAGTTTGTCACTCCCGGATATGGGGTACAAACAGATGTCATTAAACATCTGCTGAACATTAAAGGACAATAACCTACTTCATTGCTGAGGTCACAGGTTAATCACGGTCATTAAAAAGGTCATAAGGTTAACCCCTAAGGGGGCGGGTCAAATGTCAAAGTCAATCAAAAAAGATGACATTCCGTGAATCGTAACTACTACTCGGGTGGAGTCTAACAGACTGAATGAACCAAGCACAGCTGCAGTGGTTTTAGCCTCAATATAGTATTTGGAGTCAGTATCTTTTCATTAAAATCAAGCCGTGAAACTGAAATTTGTACAAGTAGGCTTTAAGGGAACAAAAAAAAAATAAAAAAATAAAAAAAAACCACACACAAGTCATAAACCTGCAACACAGAAAGAGCACACACACAGCCCAAGTTAATAGCTATTGCATTTAAAGTAGTCAATAACCATGTAAGAACCTCATGAATAGTGCAAGTTTGAGTTGTCCAGCTTCAAACATGTCAGATGTTCAACAAAAGAGGCAGACAATGACTGGTTTTTAAAAGGAGTCATTTAATTCATCCTTTAGCCAGAAATTAAGCACAATCATGGACAGGGAGGCATGTATGTTGTCTCGAACACATCACCTGAAAGTGAAAGGAACAGGAGGTCAGCTTGACATGCATGAGCAACAGGGAATCCAGCCAAAAGCACAAGCCACTGAAAGCATACTTGGCTGATAGTAGTCATAAACCTCAACAACCGCTGGCTTGAGATTCTGCACTGCAAGAACCTGTTTCAGTTGTAGCCTGTAGGTCACGGGGGCACCCTTGGGAACCTGCGAGACAGAAGGGATGAAGAGAAGTACATATGCAGCACACATGGAGGCAAATAGAGAACATACCCAGTGCACATCTCACCTCTTTCAGATACACAAGCACATGGTCATCTCCAGTATCAACCCGCTGCACTAATGGAGCAAATGTATCCAGTGGCGAGCCAAGCTGAGGAAAAGGTCCATTAACATGAAGCAGCGTCAAGCATCTTAGGACTCTGCATACAATTAATCTTAAAGCATACGAACCAGTGAGGTATCCGCTGTGAAACCCGACAGGAGTTTAACGTTAACGATAACCATGTTGGTAGTTGGTTTTGCACCGTTGTACCTAAATAAAAGGGAGATTATAAAATTAAAATGGAACAAGCCAAGCACTTCTGAATTAACAGTTAGCTGCATCTACTAAAATGGCTTAATGCTGCTCAGAGGTGGCATAATGGCATTTATGCAGAAACTCCAACTGTATTCTTTGATATTAGGGGCTGAGGTGGGTCAGAACTACATGATTTGGACTGGATTTTATGTCAAATAGTCACAGAATTGAGCAGGCACAGAGCAGCCTTAGCTCAGCGGTGTAAAGATGCTTTAAGGGTCAAACAGGTCAAAGTCGAAGCGGTTCTTACTTCACAGTGATGTTCAACACGAGATCCGCTCCATGCACTTTGCAGTCTCTTGCCACCTTCACTTCAACGCTAAGTGTTCTGGAAGCTTTAATGGGTGTCGGGATGTTGTACAAACAAGCAACCTGGGAGTACAAAACCAAACATGACAAGGAACTACGACAAGCATAGAGGTAGAAGTTAACCAAGTGAAGGTTCAGACCTGCACAGACACACAGGTGGAGCCCTTCCCTCTAACACTATATCTGCCAGGAACATTCTTCAGCGGCTTCTCCTGATACAGCAGCCTGTTGTCTCGATTCACATTGAAGTTGTACACCTCTCCTGCCACAGACGATGACTGTACAGTAACAGTGCTGGAGCCTTCCAGGCTGAACACTTCAGCGGCGAGCAGAGACAAAGCATGAAGAGCCACCACAGTGTCCTAAAAATAAAGCAGCAGATTAAAACCTCCACTCAGATACGATGTTTGTGCTCATGTTTCGTAGTCAGTCACCTGGGTGGAAGAAAAGCCTCCATAAGGATTCTGATGGGCCACGAGCCAGTTGACAATGCGGTTAGCATAGCCCAGATTAGCTGTCGTGAGAGGCTGTACAGAGAGAACCGCCAGCAGCACATAGGAGCTGATCTCCACCGCCAGAGTGTCACCAGATGTAGTCTGAGACCAGTGGAGCTTAGTGCCTTAAGACGAGACAGAAGGTTGATGCCAAAGAACCTGAACACCTCAAACAAGAGACTAGTGAATCTCACCTTCAGAAATGGCAACGTTGTCCAAGGCATTTAAAAGCTGTGCTCGAGTGCTGGTCTCTCCAGCCAGACTGAAGGTGTAGGCGAGCAGAGCCGTGGTGTAAGTGTTTCCCAGGTTCCCAACGACAGGCCTCAAGCAAGACAGAGCATTGGTGATGATGGGATCCTGAAAGCAAAGCAAATGTCAGACTTCAGAACCAGAAAGCCATCAAGGAGCTGGTAGGCATGTTTTTACCGTTACAAGGACACCTAGTTCAAGCAGCGACGCAACAACGTAGCCCGTCATGGTCACGTTATCACCAACACCACCCTAAAACGCAGCATAATGATTAAGGTCAGTCTCAGACCAGTTACAGCACATTTAAAGAAACATGCACACCTTCATGTCATTGTGGTACAGAGTTCCCTGCTGCATGAAACAGCCATCTGAACCCTGTTTGCCGATCAGCCAATCCTTTGCGCTCTGGAGGACACTGGGATCAATGAAGCTGAAACGCCTTGCTAGGCCAAAAGACCTCATGACAAAGGCGGTCAACCTGGCCATGAAAAGTCTCATTACAACCCAATTCAATGACGCACAATACAAGAACAGCATTAAAACGCACCATGTATTGGATGCATCGTAACCAAACGTGCTGTATGAACCATCACTGTGCCTGTAGTTCAGTTGTCCTTGGTATCCTGTTCAAGTCCAAAAAATAAACTTGTCAGGAATCACATTACACCACATGATGCCCTTGACTTGTAGGATTCAACAATCTGTACCACTCTGAAGGTAACCAATGGCAGTCTGTCGGATGGTTGGGGTGAGCTGTCCAGTGGCTTCCAGGTACTGGAGGATGTAAATATTGGGAGCAAGAACGATCATATTTTGTTCTCCACAGCCAGATGGCATCTGTAATAAGTTATCTAGATTCTTTAGCGCACGACCCATTATGTCCCCTAAGAGGGGAAGAAACTAAGGTCAAACCAAAAAGCCATCAGAAACCAAAGTTATTTTGCTGAAAGTCTCAGCGTCCATTTCTCCTTAATGAAACGCTTTACCAAGGACTGAAACTGAGCACTTGGCTGATCCCTGGATCACATTTGTTGGAAACGTCAGAGACACGTCTTCTGAAAGGAGACTTCCTGTGGACCAAACAGAACCGGAGTGTGCTAGGTTAGTTCGCTGATAGAGGGTGAATGCATTTAGAAAGTCACTGAGTGCAAACAAACCCTTTGGGCACAATAACCAACTCTGGGTGAAGATCCTTTCAACTCCTTCAGGCTATAAAAAAACAAAAAAAACAATGCACCACATCAGTAAAGCAGCATAAGCGCCATGATCAAACACCAGAAAGCTGCTTAACACTTACCAGAACCAGTAGACTGCGAGTAACCAAGTCAATGCGTCCTCTTGTTGGCACGGTCACAACTTCAGTGCCACATCGAACCTGGGATTGTTCAGCCAGAGCACTGACAGTTACATTTACAGATCCTACAGTACAGAGAGTAAGTGAGCAACAACTCATGTACACCTAAATTTAGAAAGATACAAACAGTGCAACAGACCGAGAACAGAAGCGGAGAGAATCCATTTAAAGGTCTTTCTCCCATTGGCACAGAGACAGGATGAATACGGCTCATTTAAAGGTCTAAGACTGAAGTCCAAGGAAGAAGCTGGAGTCACTTTAACCTGCCAGTGAATTGCATGATTAGTGCACATTGAGTAAAGAGGATTCTCTACAGATCCATTTAGGGGTGTGATATTGACACTTCATTTTCTAGGATGGAGTTTTTGCACTAGTAACTTGGCTGGTTTTCATAGCAATGACCGAAGTTCATACACTTACTCTAATCATTCTTGCACGCGAGATATTGCTTAATTGACAAACCAATACTCATGGAATGTGGCCCTGTATTTTACATGGCTAATTCGAACAGCGTTACAATAGGCTACATCTTGGTGTGAAAGCTCAAAGCAAAGTGACTAATATCAGCTTGCACATCTCTAACAGAAATACAAGTCACACACCCCCCCCCCCCCCCCCCATAAATATGAATCCAGACCATGATGCACTTGGACAGATAGTTGAAGACTGTGGCCTTCAGCTCAAAAGACTCTCCACGGATGATGGAGTAAGGCAGGGAGAGCTCCAGGAAGAAGGGCTGGAAGACAGTCAGCTGAACTGGAGGAGCCAAGCCAAAACCTTTGGAGGACAGGCAGAACGCCTCAGTCTCCCATGTGGTGATGGTGTCAGGAACCTTCAGAGGAACTCGTGTGGATCCAGTGTTTCTGAAAAGGACACCGGAAGATATAAACGAGGGGGCCAGGGGAGGCAAACAAATTGAAGCCAAGTGGCTTTAGATCAGTAATGTCAAACTCCGTTCCTGGATGACCACAGCCCAGCAGAGTTCATATTCAACTCGAAACACCTGATCCAGCTATTGAGGCTTATTTGAAAAGCAATACGTTGGAGCATGGTTGGAAACACTTCACCAGTAGTTTGTGGACAAAAGGGCCAAAAAAAGCATAGAAGTCTGGCCTTTCGAAAATACCAGTGTGGACAGGGCCTTGGAGTCAATTTGCTGAAACAAGAGATTCTTTACTAACCCCACTTGAGCAAGCTGCCAGATCCATGTTTCTGGAAAGTAAGTCCTGACGGTCACGTCAAAAGAGGAGCTACCATCACCTCCAGCGCCCTCTCCTACTGGTGCAGCAGCCACTGCAAAGGCTTCAGGACCACGAAAATACACTGAAAGAAATTAATACTAGGAGTGCAACCACCAGTTGAGTTTAACGATTCATTATAAAATGGTGTTAGACGAATCATGTCTGTGCAACAGGCTATCCTACAGTAAGAAACTAATTGTAATAAATCCCCCCCCCCAAAAAAACGAATCTTGTACTACAAGACGCATACTGACTACTGGTCTCGTTAAGGGGGGGAGATTTGTTGCATTATGTATTTATGGTAAATGGTCGCCTTCCTGCAGGATACACAAGGTTTGAAGTTGCCAGAATGAAGTGCTCATTTCACAGAGTTGAAAGCTTAAAATAAGCAGTCCAAGTCTGGAACAAGAACACCACTTAGGCATTAGTTGTGCCAGTGTATTGCACTCAGTAACAAACCTATACAGACTGTTTCCCCTGCCATTTCAGGGGGGCACCCCGCCCCCCTTGAAGGTCAAGTTAAATTCTCTATAGCGCCAGATCACAACAGAAGTCATTTGAAAGTTATTTCTTATAGAACATGTCTATACATTGTCCTCTCATTAAGCAAACTAAATAGCCTTATGTCATTTACATGATGGCATGTCATTTCAGTGTTTTTTTTGCGCTCTGTATCACGCACAGCAGAGTTGCGCCCCACACACGTGTAAATATTAAGCCGCAAAACGATTTTTAAATGAATTTTGCGTGTCTGTTAATGAATGGCACAGATGCGTGGTTTTGTGTAGTACTTGTACGGAAGCGTTCGGGAATCCTCCGGTGATTATTAACATCTGCCGTTTTACTAATGAGGACAAATACATGAACAACATCTCCAGAACTGCTCTGAGAGTCACTTCATGAGCATTTGACCGTCTCATTTGAGTAAAATTATCCCCATGTCATACACAGAAATGTAATGTTATTTACGGCAACCTGTCAAAATAAGTTGTTTAACTTGAGGGCATTGGCAGAAATAGATTACTATTGTGGAGTAGAATGTACGTAACCGACTGCTACTAAAATTAAAACCTTAAGGAAGTATTCAATATTTCAATTGTATTAAATTACCTTTATTTTCCAAAAAAAAAGGTTTAATTTTCACTACAAGAGATTAAAATAATTTTTTATGCCTTAAAACAAAATTTAAAAAAACAGAATTTCTGAGCCAAAAAAAAAAAAAAAAGGCTATTGTAAGAATAAATGAAACTTGTTTTATGCTTTCAAATTAGACCTGCTAAAACAGAATTTGGTTACAATAAAACATAAGGTTGGACAAAAAACATTTCATAGGGCCCTAAACGTAATAAATTGTTAAATTAAGTTTAATGATTTTAATTAGACATGCTTTGATTAATAAAATCTAATTTAACCATTAAAAAGGAGTCCAGGAAAATTAAATCTTACCCCCCCCCCCCCAAAAGCCATAAACCTAGGGGAAACACTGCAGACCATTACCCAGCAAGCCTTTGACAAACCAAAAGATTCACATCAAGAACCTGAAGACATACTGTGATGGAAGTTGCGATAGTAATTCAGGTCTCTGTACATCAGGCAGTGAGGTTCTTGGACAGGCAGATTTGTTGCAACCTTAATCCCCACACTCTGTCAAAGCAAAGCAAAAATGCGCATTTGAAAGTTAAGAGCATCCAGCCAGTAAGTGACTGCAGAAAACTTCCAACCTTGAAAACTTCGTAAGCTTGGCCTGCAGGAACAGCTCGACGGGGGCGAACATTCAGGCACTCCTGTTCATCCTCAACAGGATACAGATCCGATAGTGATCGCACTGGGAGCAAGTCGAACACCTAAAACATGGGGCGGGGGGGTTGACATGGCCGCCGAACACCTCATTAAACAAACAGTTTAAGAGAAGGCCACAGACCGGCATCTCCAAGCATACCACCGAGTGTTGGTCTGGTTCTAAAGGGAGGGTTCACCCAAAAGGTGAACATTCCGTCATTAATTACTCACCCTCATGTCATCCTAAGCCCATAAAACCCAGTTTAAGTTGATGGAATCTGACAGCTCTGACCCTCCCATGGACAGCAAGGGTACTACCACGATCAACGTAGCAAGGAGAGCTGGAAAATAATCCATGTGAAATCAGGGGTTCAACCATCAAAGCTACAAGAATACTGTTGAAATTATTTATTTTGCGCACAATTAGTCTCCTCTGTGTCATCCTAGCACCATTTAAGAGAATATCTACTGAACGCAAACCGTGTACGTGGTCCTGTATCAGCCACACAACACATACATTTTATAATTTGTGCTTCAATTTGAACAAACATACCCATATGGTGCTGCTGACAGAACATACACTGTTTGCGTTCAGTGGATATCCTCCAAAAAAAAAAAAAAAAAAAAAAAAAAGGCCCTAGGGGAATTTTTGAAAAAAGGGTTTTTT